ATGCTTCAGTGTTCCTTCAGCGTTGAGGGCTCATACAGTATGTGGGACGGGGTGGAGGGAAGCCCATGGCTGTGGGGTGTGTTAGGCTGGATGTGCTCTCTCATCCTGGAGCTTGAAGGGAGCTCGTCACATACCACAGGACAGTGCAAATATTTCACAACACTGAGAGACGGCACATTAGCTTAAAAGATGGTGAGCCGCATGGGCTGATAGATGGACGATATGTCAATGGTTTCAGCTGAGATCGTGGAAAATGAAAAGCCAACACGTACTGTACATGAATAGAAGAGAAAGGAGGTTTTTGACAGTCTTCCGTGATCTCATGTGTCACCAGTCTACCGTGCAAAGCAGATGGAATGGAAAAATAGCAGAACTACTAAAAGACTGGCATAAAGGTTGACTTTTGTTTTTGTTGTGTTTACTTTTTTCCTCACTGTGTGCCATCATGTCATCTAAAATGGCTGGGTTAAATATAGACAGAAACAATCTATAAATAAAAGCTTTTTCAATTGCACGTGTGGCATATTCAAAGTGATAATGTCACATCCCTGGCTCGTTCCTGCTGCTCTACCACCAGTCTCCCTTACCATCTTGTTCACTCAGCTCCAATCATTGCTCTCCTTCACCAGTCACCTCTCATCATACCCGTGCACACCCCATCCATTGAATTCTAATTAGACTCACCTGCACCATCAATCACCTCCCCTATAAAGCCTCACAGATTCCATTCATTCAGTGGCTGGAGTTGAAGTCAGATGGTTAACCTTACTTTCTACCTGGCTCGCCTGCTTCCGTTAATGTTTCCCTTCTCCTATAGAAGTTTCTCCTGCAGCTGGATTTATACTTTTGCCTGGCAGAGCATCGCGCCACTCTGCTGACTGCGCGCACCTCACGAAACGGACGAGGCTTTGCCGCGTTCACCGTTGTTATTTTCTTTAAAACGACAGGGGGCGGTCAAAAGAAACTGACTGTAAAGTCAGACGGATTAACCGATAAGTAGGAACTTTCCGGAACTACGTCATATCATTCAAGATTTTTAGACTAATTATTTTTGTTGTTTTTCATAAATTATTTTAAAATGCATCACTTGCTTTTGTTCATATCTCAGACAGTTCTTCCAATTAAAGTTTGGTAAAATATTAGTGTTAAGAGTACAGGGGCTGCTCTACAAATATATTTTTATTATGGCAAGAATAAAAGCAAAACAGTACACTTACTAAAAAATACAATGTTTTTTTTAGATTTAGCCCGCTCCACAATTTACACATTACTGACTGGCTAGTTTCTGTCCTCTTCTTATGCTAAAAAGGCAATTCTGGTCCAACATTCCTGACCATGATCATCAATAAAGCCTAGAAAAACAGCATCAGTATATTGTAAACTGATAGGTTCAAATATTCCTTTCCGGTTATCAAAGAAATAATTTGTTCCCTAATTAAAGTTTTATAACTTTTTGTTTTAAAATCAAAATTGCAATATATACATCAGTGTAAAACCTATGAATGGTGGAAAAACTTATTTCTGTAATTCTGCGCACTGTCGGCCGAAATTATGACGCACATACCCAAAAGTGAATATCTGCAAACTCGCGATGACGTCACATTCGCCGCACACACTCAAGCGAACAAGCATCGAGTATAACCCAGGCTTCACCCTGTGGATGTACATGCTGTGATTAAGGGAAGTGACTTCATATTTGGATGGTTGCATAAAGATCCTTGTTTACATTGTGAAAAACGTATTATCTGCTCTCCATCAAGAATATCCCTTACCTGCTTCACCTGTTGAACAATCCACTGTGTGTTTAAATAAATTGTTGAAAATAGAACCATTCTTGTCTTCATTGTGTGACCATGACTGGATTCCAGCCCCGAAGATAAAAAAACGCAGCTATGGAGTCTAGCTCAGCGTTAACCGGAAGCACATTGGACCCATTCGTTGGAATGATACATTAAACACTGCCTTTTGCTCCCATGGATGCTGCTACCACTTCGATGGTCATCCATGGCTTGCCACATGAACAATTCAGGCACTCCAAATACCTGCAATGGCTTTCTGCTGCAATGTGCCCTCTACATAGAGGCTAATGCTAACCAGTTTTCCAATGAGATTTCCAAAGTTGCTTTCATAATCTTCCTCCTTACAGGACGAGCTCTACCGTGGGCGGATGCGCTCTGGAATGCAAGTAGTCCTGAGGTGGATTCCTATCAGTCTTTACTCACTTTAAAGTGGTGTTCGCTGTACCACTCACCCCACTATTTGAGCACGACGAACTGATAAACCTGAAACAAGGCAACTCTAGCATTCACAAGTTCACACTGCAGATCTGAACACTTGCCACTTGTAGCGGTTGAAATCAAGTGGCCCTCCTTGCTGCTTACCAAAAAAGGTTTAAAACCTCAGATTCGTAAACATATGGTAACTTATGTTGACCCTGTTTCTCCTCCTTCCACAGACCCGGAACTGTGTGTCACTGCATATGAAATGACTAAAAAGATATAACGATAAAAAGAAATATCCACTGTGCTGAGCGAGAGCGCTTCTTAAACTGAACAGCGCATCATTGACTTAAGCGTGCCCAGGCTCAAATGCGATGTGAGTGCAGGGAGACGGGAGAGGGGACAAGTGTGCTTCGGCCAGGTTCGGCCAGGTTCAAGGCAACTGTACATATGAACACCGTTATGAACTGTGTGCTAAATCTGAGTGGCCTTCTCTGTATGTAAGAAGGTACACCCACTGGATGACTCTGGTCTACAAGGCTCCTTTGGGACTGGTACCTTCATACCCAAGTTTCCTTCTCTTAAGTCAAAAAGCCAGTATTCATTACATTCCAGTGAATCTTACCATTTAACTGTTCCCCTGGTTCAAACAGAAATAGGAAAGTGAGCCTTTACTCATGCCGCCCCCTCATCCTGGAATACTCTTCATTCTGAACTAAAAATGCCTAAGCTCATCCCAATTACATCGTTTCGCTCTATCCTTTTTAACAAACAGTAACAGTCCATTTCTCAATGTACGTGTTTTTAACATATTGTAACGTGGTATAGCTAAACAACTAAACTGTATTTTTATATTATCTTAATTTTCTATTTATTATTAATATTAATATATGTAGTAAGGTTCGTTGTTGTTGAGGGAAGAAAAAGACAGGGTCGGCAATTCAGGTTTTATTAATTTTATATGCCACCACACATGTAGCAGTGTGTGTGCTCTCTCTTCTCTCGACTGCTCCTCTCGTTCCCTTTAAGAAGGGAGTCTCTCCGGCCAAATCACTAGAAAGACAGGTGTTATTTATCATTTCTGATTGACCTGCTGATTAGCCGCCGGGCTCCTAGCATGCTCTCCCCCCCTTATTGGGTGTTCGATCACACTTACCTCTCCACAATATACTTTTTTTCATAAGTCTGGTGTTGCGGACCTCTTGGCCAGGTCACAGGTCTTGATCTCAGTGGGTTTTTATCTGGTTAAATAAAGAAACACACACACATTTATATATATATATATATATATATATATATATATATATATATATATATATATATATATATATAGGAATTTTTTGGTCATAATTATTCCACACTCATTTAACTGTTTTTAGCTCATTCAATTGTATGATACCCTCTCAGAAATAAAGGTACAGGAGCTGTCACTGGGCCAGTACCTTTTCATAAGGTGCACATTTGTACCTTAACGGTCCATAATGGTACCTAAAAAATACAAAAGGTGCATTTGGGCACTGACATGCACCTTTAGAGTACCACTGTGGACTCTTTGGGTACAAAAAATTTATTCTTTAAAAAGGTACTGCCCTAGTGACAGCTCCTGTACTTTTATTTCTGAGAGTGTAGGGTAAAATAGTATTAAAGGCAAACTTATTTAAGACTTAAAAACAAAGAAAGAAAAAAAGGCATTTTAAATTAAACAGTTAAACAGTTGATTTTAATTTTTTAAAATCCATTTAGCTGATCTGCAGTTCTGTCAGAAGCACTTTTAGCTTAGGATAAATCATTCAGATGGACCATTAGCATCTCACTCAACAAATTAAAAAAAAATTTTCAATAAACTTTTAAATGTTCCCACTGAGCCAAATAAGGAGAAAGAACCAAATCTCCTCCTACAGCTATGCTGATGACACTATCTACTTAGCCTTACTGCCTAATGACTTCAGCCCCATTGACACCCTCTGCCAGTGCATTCATGAAATTAACAGTTGGGTGTTCCAAAACTTGACGTGCTGCCCTGTCAAGGAAAGGGGAGGAGTAGGGGTATAAGGGGGGGATCTTTAAGACGAAGATGGCTAAGGTAAGATACTCTGGTTATTTATAGTGATTTAGTAATCGTCTGATTGGTGCATCATGCGTTAGCTAATGCGGGACCAGCTGCTATCAATCATAAGCACGTGATCCTCTTGAAATTAGTTTATAAAAAAACTTTACTAAGTAAAAATGCTTGAAGTTCATGAAGCAATTTAATAAAATAATATACAATGCAGAACCGGGCAGCACAGCTGAGTGGTTAGCATTGTCGACTCACAGCAAGAAGGTTGTTGGTTCAAGTCCTGAGTGGGCCAGTTGTCATTTCTTCTTGGAGTTTGCATGTTCTTCCCATGTTCATGTGAGTTTCCTCCAACATGCTTTTCCCCATCAGTCCAAAGACATGCGCTAATGGTGAATTGGATGAACTAAATTGCCCGCAGTGTATGTGTGGATGCAATGGTGTATGGGTGTCTCCCAGTACTGAGTTGTGGCTGGAAGGGAATCAAACTGCATAAAACGTGGAATATGTCCTCTGAAATATTTGGCGATTCATTCCGCTGTGGCGACAGCTGATACAGTAAATAAGCCGAATAAAAAATGAATGACAATGCAGAACATGAACTTCCAAATAACAAAAGTCTCAGAATTACAGATAAAAATGTGCTGACGATATACATCAGACACGGTTTGTCTGAAATTGTATATATAAAAATAACGTTTCACCTTTCTCTGTTGCTCTTACAGATTGATTCAGATGATGTCATCACAAGAGATGAACAGATCTTTCTCCTCATTGGTGCGCGGTCGAGGTGTGAGAGAACCATCCGTGCACAGTCAGACGTGGTCAGAGGTATAACAGTGTATTTATATTTTATTTCAGCACTATTTATTGTATATTTTACCATAAATATGCTTTAAAATATGTATGAAATATTTGCATAAAGGGCCATTATACTATGCTATAATTGTTAGCAAGACACTTAAAGGTGCTGTAGGTGATCTGCCAAAATGCTAACTGTTAGCGTAATAGCTTTGAAAAAACAGTTCCATCCCTGCTATCCAAAGCCATGCCACCTGAAATCACGAATTTGCACTGTAAAGAAGACAGTAGACAACCCACTAGATCGTGTCATTCACCAGTTAGAAAACTTTATAGTACTTTATAACAATACAATTTCGAATGAAAAACTGTATCATATCTAGCAGTTTTCAGTTGTGTAGCAAGCAAAACTTGGAGTTTAACGTACATATCCTAAAAATTTGTTAAACTATATTATAGTTTATAGTATATTATTTGTACTAAAGCTTTTTTAATCATTCTTTAAAAGTTTTTTTCTGATATTAATGTATGTTAAAAGTGGAAGAATGTATGGTATATCTAGAGATTTCATGCATAATTACATTATATAATATAATATTAGTATTACATAATTGCATTAATGTGTATAATTACAGTAATAATCATTATAATCACAATTAATTAATTAGTTTAATTGCTTTAATAACCTGTATGTTTAAAGTAATAATTTTTAAAATCACATTAATCTGTATAATTACAATAAAAATGTTTATTTACAGTAATAACTTGTAAAATGACAGCAATAATCGGTATAATTGCAATAATAATAAGCAAAATGGCAGTAATTACCAGTTTTTTCCCCCAATTTTTTCACAGTGTAAATACAAATTATCAACAGTAATAAACTGTAATTTAATTAACTTTGACCATAAAATATGTATTTCAAAAGTTTTTTTGCATGTAATTTTGTGAAATAGTTATTTCTGTAATTTAATGTAATATCTCTGGAAGTCCAGTTGCCTAGTCTTTTAACCATTATTTTATAGATTTTGTTTTAACAGTGTGTCTAAAAAAATACTTCAGCCATGGTGTCATCCTTCCTCCAGCGTGCAAAAGTAACTCCAATATTGATTAACGTTTTGATCCATCATTCCTTTTTACGGCTTTCACTCTCTCGTGTGCAGATGAACGTGGCACATGTGCACGCGCAAACGGCGGATCTGCGTAAACGAGTGCACAGATGTACAAATCTACATTTGTTGACAAACAGTTTGGGCTACTTATAAGAGTTATGGGAATTATCGACTAGACAAATTTCAAATTTTTTAGTCTTATGCCTTATCCAGAATATTAAAATACATGTAAACTCATTTAGATCATTTATTTTAATCATCACTAAGGATGTGAAGAGACTTCCAACCAGCACAACAAAAATGTTCTGAAGACAAATCACCTACTGCACCTTTAACTCAAATAATAAAAATTTTAAACCATTACATTAATTTATATTTATGAATTTTTTATTTTATTCAAAACTTATCTTTTTAATTAGATGAACACTAGATTAACTTCCTTATGCCCTATTTTCCTATAGATGTCAATGGTCACCAGAATTATTGTTTTGTGATGTTGTGACAGAAATCGTTGCATTTGTGACAGAAAAAAGCATCAGAAAAATGTGAAATCTCAGGAAACCATTTTTTTTTAAAATTTTGAAACATCATTGGGAAAATCTGACTATGATTAATAGCAGTTTTACCACTCAGATCATTTTATAAAACTGTAATTCTAAATAGAATTAAATAAAAATAATTTAATCACCAATCAGATTTTCACCTATAGATAATAAATCAGGGCATAAAATCCCTTCTTTGACTCGCATGTACTGCTATCTTCCCTATATCAGTAATATTAAAGGTGTAATTTGGCATATTATAAAGCTGTGACAAAAAGGCAGCTGCTGAACCAATCAAAAGCTTGCTTCTTTCAAGCCCTACAGATCCAATTTCCTGAAGACAGCAGGATCTATGGTTATGACAAATTAGACTGCGGCCCTGTTTATATCAAGGTTTTACGATAAGGAATATTGATTCGAGCTCAGGTTGCTTTGTTATCCGTAGTGATGAGTCACTTTATCGAAATATACAGAAGGATCCGGAACTGCGAGAGGAATACAAATCACTGTTGTTGGGTTATGAGAAATATAATTCAAGATTGATATCTTTGACTTCTACAAATAAAGTAGACCCGCCACCTTCAGGTATATTGGAGATGGAGAATAATTTGTATATTATTTTTTTTTGTTGGTGATTAATCGCTGAAGCTATTGTCACAATATAAGTACACTGTAAATCTGGATAAGTTAACTCATTAATCAATAAATAATCAATAAATCTGTTAATCAACCCCAGTCCTGATCAAAACTAGTAAATTGTTTAGAAAATTTTAACTCTTTAATTGCTAAATTTATAAATGATGTCACTGATTTGATGAAAAAACACAATATGATGTATTTTCAATGTAAAAAGTAATTGTGGACTGAATTTATTTGAACCTTTTACCACAGGACATGTGAACGATTAGTAACAGCATTGTCTTTGATGCATTGTTAGATTTTCATTTTCTCTCTCTAATTCCCTAATTTACTGTTTTTGCCCCAATGACTTCCATTTTTCATGGTGCCAACTGATGATCAACAGTAAAAATTACAAATGTTACCTCTTCCCAACAGGGAAAACCACCAACAATCGAGACTGCATGCTTTTATGGTATGGCGTCAAATCGATGACAAAATTAATCGAGCACACCAGTGATGTTTACATGCGAGGAGAAGTGAACTGCGAGCAGATTACAGAACTGATCAACGTGCGCGAGCTGTAGTTTCCTCGCATGTAGGTCTGTAATCTGCTCGCGGTTCACTTCTCACGGCATTGATTTGCCGCCATTTGGTGTCATGGCTTTATTATCAAAAAAAGTGAATATAATGTAAGTCAATGGGGCAAAAACAGCCACCAACAGTAAATTAGAGAAACAGAAAATGAATTAAAAACAATGCATCAAAGAAAATGTGGTTTCACATGTCAGAGACTTTGATAAAAGGTAAATAAAACCCACAATTACTTTTATATTGAAAATGAGTCATTTTGTGTGTGTTTTTCACCAAATCAGTGACATCATTTACAAAGTTGGCAATTAAAGAGTTAAAATCCTGAAATTGTCTAAGCAATTTAGTAGTTTTTATCAGGATTTATGCAAAAAAATATGAAAAAAGTGTATTGTTGATTTTTTTTATTTTTTATTCAAAGCATTTCCTTAAAATATGTGTCAAAATAATGTGCCAAAAATCATTCCATTTGCTGAAACACAAAGAACGTTTAGGCCAAATTAAGATTCAAAATCACCACATAGTGGATGGAAGCATCCCCAACATTACATAAGGGTTAAATTCAGTTATCAAATCTTGTTATTAAAATGAATTAAGCCCAGAAAATATATAGCTACTTTTTTTTTTGGCTTGCTATTGCTTCCAGCATTAAATTATTCATTCATTAACTCATTCGGTTTGAGTTCTGCTTAACACACTGAAAAAAATGGCTTTTGCTGTTTGTTCAAACTACTTATTTAAAATGAGTTGGATTACCACAATTCTGAAGTTTTTTTGGGAAATTTTTTGTTCAGTCCACTTAATTTTTTAAAATTGATTAAGGTAACGTAATCTATTTTGTGTTGGGGCATGAAGAAATTGTGTGGAACATTTTTACAGTCAGTTACTATAAGAGTTACCATAACTCTTTTTCAATTAGTTAAAGTAGTAACTTATTAAGTAGTTTTTTTTAAGTATTAGCTGAACTAACTTATTTCATTTGGTGATTTTCACTGTTTTACACTGTATTATTACAATATTGGCCTAAGCTGCAAAAAAAAAAAAAAAAAAAAGGTTTATTGATATATGAATGAGTGAATAAATAAATGCATGTTTTAAACAAATGGAAATGCAAGATGATCAAGTGCAATAGGTAATACTTTACAGTATAGTCTATATAGTACAATATAGAATGAGTTAATTCGCTAAAGTCAACAGTGAGAAAAATTATAGATATGTTAAAGTTAATTTAAAAATACACCAGAATTTTATTAGTTGTGAACTCCATTTAACCACATACGCCTTTTCATTAGGCATTAAAATCAACATCTGCAATGATTGCATTTGTAGTTGTCATTACATTGACTTTAGTTAAATTAATGAACAAAAGGCCCATAAATACTCATAATTTTAAATGTAATAATATGTCTGAAAATAAATATTACACATTAAGTCTTGCTGCTGTGAACAACTGCAAAATAAAACAATCAGAATTTTCTTCAAAGGCATTTATAGTAAATGATTATTCACAGTATTTTTAAGTGTCAGTAATCAATAATGTACACGTTAATTTTCACAATATATTGAATTATTAAATATTGCCATACCTTTTTTGAGTTAAAGATATATTGTCTATTTTTGTGTTTGTCAGAGAATAACTGCGCTCCTGAGTGGGATGGGATCATTTGCTGGCCCACAGGAAAACCCAATCAGATGGTGGCAGTTCTGTGTCCTGAGTACATCTATGACTTCAACCACAGAGGTCTGCTGAACCCTCTAAAACTAAAACACAATAAATCTCTGCTCTGTCTAGTTTCAACAAATACCAATGCCGATACAAATACTAATTACTCTAGATACTAAGCAGTGAGAAGAGAATGTATACTGAAGGGTGATATGCTCTCACCAGCCACTTTATTAGGTACACCTTTCTAGTATGAGGTTGGACCCACTTTTGCTTTTAGAACTGCCTTAATTCTTCGTGGCATAGATTCAACAACATACTGGAAATATTGCTCTGAGATTTTGGTACATACTGACTTGATAGCATCTCCCAGTTGCTGCAGATTTGTCGGCTGCACATCCATTATGTGAATCTCCCTTTCCACTACATACCAAGGGTGCTCTATTGAATTGAGTTCTGGTGACTGTGGAGGCCATTTGAGTACAACAGAAGATAGCTACGCTGTGGTCATAAAGGGATGGACATGGTCAGCAACAATACTCAGGTAGGCTGTGGCATTGACACGATGCTCAATTTGTACTAAAGGACCCTAATTCTGACCCTACCCTCCGAATGTCGCAGCAGAAATCGAGACTCTTCAAACCAGGCAACGTTTTTCCAATCTTCTATTGTCCAATTTTGGTGAACCTGTCCAAATTGTAGCCTCAGTTTCCTGTTCTCAGCTGACAGGAGTGGCACCCGGTGTGGTCTTCTGCTGTTGTAGCCCATCCATCTCAAGGTTGGACGTGTTGTGCGTTCAGAGATGCTCTTCTGCATACCTCAGTTGTAGTGAGTGGTTATTTAAGTTACTGTTACCTTTCTATCAGTCAGGCTGGCCATTCTCCTTTGACCTCTGGCATTAACAAAGCGTTTCCACCCACACAACTGCCGCTCACTGGATATTTTCTTTTTTTTGGACTATTCTCTGTAAACCCTAGAGATGCTTGTGCGTGAAATTCCCAGTAGATCAGCAGTTTCTGAAATATTCAGACACGCCTGTCTGGCACCAACTACCATGCCACATTTAAAGTCACTTAAATCACCTTTCTTCCCCATTCTGATGCTTGTTTTGAACTGCAGCAGATCATCTTGACCATGTCTACATGCCTAAATGCATTAAGTTGCTGCCATGTGATTGGTTGATTAGAAATTTGCATTACTGAGCAGTTTTTTAGGTGTACCTAATAAAGTGGCTGGTAAGTGTAT